ACACACAGGTTTTTTGCTGCCGCTTTCATAAAATGACCTTTTGTTAAGACAAAGATTTGTTTTCTTTTTTTACCCTTTCAAACATGGATCCAGAACCTCAGAGAAAACATCAAACGTGGGTGGGAAGGATTAAATGCACACCTCCCCACTCTATCTCTCTACACTACAAAGCCAAACAAAACCCAGAAACAGGCTGCTTGGTTCTATTCCTTGTGTCTACATGTAACACTTAGCTAAGATCCACAGATTATATCCTCTTTTGTGTCTACCCTTTTGAGTTTACAAAGCTGGTGCTATCATCAACAACCCAGATGTCTCATGTTTGGACATTAGGATTAACTCTAGCACTTGAAGCGAACATGACACTTATTTAAGGCAAGTATGGGCTAAGAGCCAAATAATTACACAGAAGTTCCAAGTACCCAAAATTGCTTATGACTTACTTTTCAGTGCAGCACATTTCATAGAATACAGGTTTCTTTTAAAAAATGAAAATACTTTAAAAACCAAAAATTGAAAGAAAATGCTGAAGTCCTCAAAAAAACCTGTGCCACAAAATAACTTTTACATACTAAGCTATCTCATTTTCTACAGGCTTATGTTAAGCGAGTATATTAGTGGTGCATATTTTACCAAGACAATCTGTTACTAGAACTTCTGCAAAATAGAATTTCACCTTCCGACTGAAAGGGATTCAAAACCTCTAAACTAATGGCAGAATTCATTGAGGCAGGAATTGGCAGATGTGGAAATGCCCTAGAAACTGGCACAAGGCATACTTCTGTGTATGTTTAGATGGAAGAAAATCCTCTAACACCCAGCATTTCCCAGGGAGCATTGCTGGCTGGAGAAGGATAGGAATCATACAACCCTTTTCCAGCTAAATATGCATAGGATTGTGCTTTTTGGCTGCTTTTCTCAGCTATTTTTAGAAATAGAAAATAAATTTGTAAAATTTACCATACACTACCTTGTCCTGATTTTTGTCCCTCATAAAAGTACTCAACAATGAAAATGTGCACTTTAAGCATTTGGTTTCTTAAGCTTTGTTGGATGACAAGAACTACTAAATTTTGGCAATGAATTGGCAACATGGTGTACTCTAGATGTCTTGGACTACTGCAAAGCACACCAATCCTCCTGTAAGTGCCCCTGCCAACTTTTAAAATAAGGTGTTCTTTTGAATATTTTCACTAGATTATCAGCTTTGCTGGTATTTTGTTTGCACAACTAGAATGATAAAAGAAGAGTGGAGGAGACTTTTCCCCTCTTTCCTTTGCATATTTGTGAACACAGTGTGGGTTCTGAATCAACATTGTGTGCAAATACAGAGCTTTAGCAACATCATAAGGGTGGGATTTTTTTCAGGCAAGTAAAGAGGACAGCAGTCTCTGGTTGTGGATAGATGAGCAGCCTGTTGGTTCTCTGAAAGTCGAGCCTCTCTTAAATCTAAATGATGCCCCTTGCTGCTTGTGCATTCTTTAACGGTTTTGCATGATAAAACTGCAAATGTGCAGTTTTGCATGGGGACTCTATTTCTACAGGGTTCCTATATATGTAACATATAGTCTGTGGTACTTCTGCATATTACTTACCTGCCTATTTGCACACTTTCACTTATGTGAATAGGCAGGGATTCAAAGTATGCTGTGTATAAGTACTATACAAAACCAGGTCCTAAATATGACCTCCTCTCAAAAAGAAAAATTGGTATTTGATACCAAAAACGGCTTCTGTGAAGAACTGCCTCAGGCTGGGCTGTATGAACTGTTCACCCTGCAAACTGTCAGCAGTGTAATTTTTAAGACAGTTAGGTTGAACATTCCTTTGTGCCTCAATATTGCAGAAGCTTGACAAGTCTGTGCATGCTCTCAAGGCTAAACCTATCAACTCTTAACAACTGTAGGCCTTTATTCAATATCTTCAGAAGAAAATGCATCAGTTGTTTGGATCATGCTCTAAGCTCAGTTAAGCCTGATCAGCATGCTGTAATGTTCTGTATCCTAGCAAGTTTAAAAATTCCTAGTAAGTTATATCTAAAAGTATATACAGTACTGAAATGTGCATAAGTGTATATAAATGTGCATTGAAATATTAGGAAAACTTATGGTTTCTGGAAGCAGAATAACTTTAGGTTACTGTTTGAAAGGCAAATAAAATTGTCCTGCATCACCCAGAGAAAGCTTCGGGCTCCCGGTCATAGCAGGCAGGTGCTTATATGCATTTTCTCTGCTTATTAGTTATTGTTCTGACAATGTATATTTTTACATGAGAAGTGTCATCTACTTAGGCATGCTGAGAGATGTTTTCATTAATAGTGTCACTATTGCACTTTTTGTAAATAAATCCAAATTTAGGCTCTGACAAAACATAAAAAGAGTCACAATCTAATTAGGCATTTTGTTTAGGTTTTTAAATTTAAATGAGTAGCATTTCAGATTTTTAAGAGTTTTGCCTGGGTATAAGGTTTGAAACTGCTACAAAAGAACCCAACCTTCATACTATCTCAGTCCTGCCTACCAACTGCCAACTGGAAAGAGGCCCGACACTGCTTAGAGATGCACAGATATGTATGTTATTACAGTGCAACTGCTCTAGCTTGTTACAAATTTTGTCTTCTGGTTACATTGTCAGCCAGAATTGACTGTTGTAGTTTTAGATTGTTCCACACAGCACTTAGTATGCTATCATTTAACAAAATTCCCTTCTACAAATGTTTAATGCCTACAAAGAAAGAACAGCCATTAGTGGAGGGACAACCAAAAACACTTTATCCACTTTTATTTTATTCTCACTGTGATACACTGATGGAATACTAAGGGGTTGTTAAGAGGTATGTTGGATCCTGCTAGGTCATAGTGAACTTTATGAAACATAACATTCACTTTGGCTTGAGCGTGGGTAACGATGAAAGAACTAGTACAGATTGGTAATGTGACCCATTTCCAGTTATTTTTCTGTTTCTGGTAAAGAAATAGGTGAGAAGAAAGTACAGTATTCCCGATAAGGAAAATGATTCAGTGTTGCAAATTCAGATAGCTCTTATTCTCACGGATTATAACACCACCAAAATTAACCACTGATCAAATACTGGAATATGTTAAATTGAAATAAATGGAATTGAGTACTCTGCGAAAATCTACTAGATTCCTCAAGATAGTACATGCTGAAACCATTCTCTTCTATTTTAGGAACCTGGGATTGGTCCAACTCCAAAGAGGCAGGATGAGCCTGAATTATGTATTAGAAGTGCTGGATAATTGAATAGAGGAACACATTGGAATTTTATAGCAACAAGAATCAGTGAATCACTCATAGACATGACAATCCATAACAGCAGACAAAGGAAGAAGGCTGCTGTAAGAGAAACATTATTCAGTTGTACACCTACTTCTCTGAAAAGACTACCATAACAAAACATTTGGGCATTTTGAGACTTCTGCAATCAGTTATAAATTCTAAAGATGACAGTGTGGTTCAAGCTGTATGGCTAAATGCACCTAACCAGAACTACAGAAGCGCCAAAGCATCTTTCCCCCTGCTAGAGGCCCTGGGACAGCTAGATAAAGGAGGGAGTGTTTGCTTTGCAAAGGAGTATTTAGATAAAAGGTTTCTTGCCAACCCTTCTGCTTTCACTACAGCTTGAACTGAGAACAACTGCATAGGTAATTGTACATTTTTCAATGAGATCCTTAAGACCCTCTACTTTTACAAGAGAAGTATCTGCGTATTAACTAGACCAGAACATTTGTGTAATTGGTTTTAAGAGCATTATCAACGAAATGCCATAGGGGAAGAGAGGCAATGCTTTTGTGGTGGTTTATTCTAGGGGGTCTTTAGTGAAAAGGTAAGTAATGACATGAATACGTGTCCATGATTTTGAAGGATAGACATGATGGCTAGATGAACCAATGACTGCATAGAAAGCACTATATCCACAGAGCACATTCTTTGCAGTACACAGATACTCAAATACTCTTTTCCCATCAAGATCAGCCACAAGATTGTACTCTAGTCTCTTGCCAAGGTAGCAACATACTTGATAAAGGTTTCATGCCAAAATGCTTCCAAGCATTTTATTTTCTATGTTTAATAGCAATAATACTGGATTAATGCGGAAGTGGTCAAAGGAAATACTGTCTGCTGTAGACCAACATCTAAAACTTAAAGAGGGATAACTTGTTCAGAATTCAAAAGGCAATGATGTGTTAGAAAAAGTATTCTTTATTTAAAAACATCATACTTTACCTTACACAGGTGTGACAAAGGCAAACAATCCAAGAAACAATATTCCACTTCATTAAAATCACAAAATGCATTATAAAATAACTACAAGCAATATAACAACATGTAGGAAGACAACAAATACTTAATAGCAACAGAATTAAAAGCTTTCTGAAAAAAAGTTGGCAAGGAACAATAGTAAAGATGATTATCTAAGATTCTTTGGGTGGGAAGTTCCATGTATCACAGGAAAGGCTTATTTATATTTTTAGATTTACCACACTAAAATATGCCCTAATCTAACAGAATTATCAGGAAGAGTCAAAATGCTGCCTGTGTGGACATGTACCTAATAAGTCACCAACAGGAAGCAGCTTGCTGATGTGATAAAATGGCTCAGTATTACCATCTTGCCATCTATATGACACAAATCTACAATAATACAATAAGAGCCAGGGAGAACCAGACAAAAGGCTTATCTAGCCAGCATTCTCCATTAATAAAACGGCAATAATGGCATTATCAAAATAAACTTAAGAATTCAGTTTCTGTCAATTGGCCATGTGATATGTAGACATTCCAGGTAAAAAAAAGCGGATGTCTTCTTTGCCTGCCTGTTGTTTCCCTGTCCTTCCCAAATATCATTTGGTTCACACAGAAAATAGTTTGACTGGACAAGGCTTTGTATTGCTCCCCACTTTCTTTGTTCCTTCACATAGGAGCAGTTGATATAAATTGAACCTGTGTGTGAGGGGGACATAAGGACTGTCAGCTCAGAAAGAGCACAGATGGCAGAAACACACACATCCACTATTCAAAAACTGTATCTTTTCAAACAAGTATTTTAAGTTTCTAAGCTACATACTCAAAACTTTGGGCAAAAGCCATTTATGAGGCCTGAAATGCTAGCTGCTTCCCAAAGACCACTACCCAATCATGTTTAAGACTCTATGAATGCTTTGTGGAGATACCGATATGTATGCCTTCACCACTACCTCATCCTTCTCCATAAGAGCAGTGCAAAAATTGCCTCTAGCAAGATTGTAATACAAAAAGGGGTAAGAATACTCATTTAATTGGTCAGTCACTTTCTGATGAACTCAGAAACAGATGCTAACTAACCGATGCCTTAGTTGTTCTTTTAACTACTCCCCATCTCCTCACCCTTGGAACAGTCTTTTCTCAAGGGGAAGGGAAGAAATGCAGAAACATATTGAACACTGATAAATTACTTTGATTAATAAGTGCAAGCTTTCTATGGAATAGTAATGCCTGGTTTTTGTAGCCTGGTAGTTGTAGATGCCATAGTCCTATCTAGGCCAGCTGTCCCTCATAACCAGACAATGCAGTACTTTTTCAACCCTCAGCAAACCTTTGAAATAAATTAAGAAATCTGAGATTTTATCAGTGCAATAAAGAGGCCTTGGGATATTTCTGTTAATTCAAGTAACATTTTGTCTTGGGTATTGGATATGATTTGAATCAACTGTCCATCATGAGCACACTGTTAAAACCTGCCTTCAGGGTGCTTACAGATTATACTTGAGCGTACAATCCCCGTCTCAATCATAGAATTTTATGGGAAGTTGAGACAAACATAGGGCTGTGCTGTAAACATGTCGAAACAACAGTACAAAGTGGATAGATTTCACAAATGGCATTCTTAGAACTTATGCATAATTTAACTTCAGTTTCAACTTTTCACATTTATTCTATAGCAGTATGTTTCCCTCTTGGATTCCTTCAGTTTAGTAATACATATTGAAGCAGACAGTACCAAAGCTTGAAAAGCAGTTTTTAATCTTGCATTATTCAAAGTATTTCAACTGCTTAGTGAAACTAGTTAATTATTGAAACTTCTTTGGATAGTTGTTAGTGCTTCAGGCCAGGAGAACAATTACATTCTATCAGCAGCAGACATAGTTTCTTTTATGTGAGATGCAAGGTCAAATATCTGAGTTTATTAGAAAAGTCAGAGACACAGTTTCAAAATGTTCTTTGTCTGCAAAACTGTCTATGAATCAAAGAGATAAAGTTGACTTTGCTTTTCAAAAGAGTAGTTCCATTACAAATGGCACAACAAAATAAAAACCTTTTTTATTTTCTCTTGAACTATTAGAGTTCTCTTTTCTTTGTAAATCCTCTCATTTAACTATTTGATCCTCTCATTTTGAACAAGAACCAGGCAGAAACTCCATACAAAAATGGAATATCTTTAATTTTCATCAGTATTATAATGTGTCTTGAAACTTTTTAATACTTTAGCTATTGCTCGAGAAGGACTCCTAGAAAACACCCCACTTAAAAAAAAAACTTCAAGGGTTTTCAAAATTAATTTGAAATTAATGAACAAGTTCTATTAGAAGTGACTTGCTGTAGAATGATTTGCTATTAAATACTGAGTGTATTGTTGTATATCAGATGACCGGTAATCTGAGCTCAGCTCGTCAAATCATACAAGCATTTTGCGTGAATTTATATAGAGTAAATTAATTGTGCTATGAAGGCACCATGTATGTCTCTATAACATCCCAGTGTTCAATTTACATCACAATTCTACATATATCTACTTTGAAATAATGCCATTCAGTTCAGTGTGGTTTACTCTTAGGTAAATGGGTATGGAATTGCAGCCTAAGATGCTAAAAATAAAATTGGAATCCAGGGTCAATCACTAGTGTCTTTTTCCTTAGTATTGAGAGAAAAACGATTAAACCAGCAGGCCAGAAGTCACAGCAGTATGAAGAATACCCATATATCTTTTCTGGCTATCATCACTATCTTTCTGATTCCAATATTATTTTTTCGCAACAAGCAATGTGTAGTCAAATTTCACAGTCAACCGTTCATTCATACCAACAGGACTTGCACATGTATTTCTTTTGTACATTGTGCAGTTCAATAGCAATGAACTGTGACATTTGGTATTGTTCAGCATTTTGTTAGTTTGTTCCATAAATTCCAGGTTTCGTGCTACTCACTAGTATGGATTGATATCACAAGCCAGGGTTCCTAGCAAACACTGCCCCAAAACCAATATTGCTGCAGCCACTCAAGAACTACACCTTTCTGCTGTGTAGTTCTTGAGTTTTCTGCTGTGTTGAGAAGTAGAGTCCAAAAGTTTTGTACTTCCAACTATTATTGTATAATAGCACATCCAATCGGGTTTCCTATATTAGTATTCTTTCTATATATTAGTGTTTGATGATGTAATAAGAACTAACACTTCATTCCCAAGGAGAGCCACTCTAAATTCACTTCCTGTGCTTACTGGGATCTGCGGTTATTCTAAAGCACATCTGCACTGCCACTTCCCAATGTTGACTGCATACTCATTGCATACATGTCTGGTTAGAACAAGGAAGCAGAACATTTCTTGAATGGGAGAGCCAGGTGACTTCTGATCACCCCTTTTTAGGCTGATATCAATATATCAAATTTGGGAGTTCACAGGACCACATTGTGCCATTACCAAGAAGTTCCTTCTGGATCACTGAAGATACTGGAAGTACAGGCAATTAAAGACACAGCTCAGGGTAAATGATTTTTTGGCATTATTTGACATAATTACAGCACCATTGTGTTCATATTACAAGTTGATGAATTTATTAATGTGACCAAGCTGGTAAATTGATTGTCCTAACAGAACTTAAAAATAAATAATTTCTAAAATTAGTTATACCATTGTGCTCAATTATATCCTTGGTAATTACTATGACTAGACTTCCCAAGTACCATAGTTTGACACTACTGGATCATTTGTCCAGCAATAAAACTAACATTAAAGCCCTTAGATAAGTAACATTTACACAAAGTCAGTAGAGAACTATTTCTGATTGAATAAAACATTTTGTAAACTAAGGCAGGAAATAATTTTATTATATTAATGTTTTATTTTTGAATTTGTCGCAGTCACATCATTGTATATAACTAAACCTGAATATTTATTTGAATACTTAATAGATAGAATTTGTCATTAAGGATCCGGTTAGGTATTATTTGTGCAGCATAATCCTAAACATGTCTATCCCAACTGAGCTGAATAAAAATGTGCTTAGAAATTTCAGCCAAAATTATGTACAAACCTCTGAATACCAAACACTTTCCCATCTGATACAGATTTTCACAATACATTTTACATGTACTTTTCAATTTACGATGGAACATATTTTCTTTAGATTTAAATTCACCTGCTTCTACACCATGACCCATTTAAGGAGGTATCTAATAATGAAGACATATTAAAGCATATCAGTTACATTTCTCAGGCTGTAATTGTTTGCTTTAGGCAGATGATGATTGATTATGATCTGTGTGAAGCAAGCATGCATCTTTGAAAATATTTTGAGTAGTCAACTTATCAATTCATTTCAAGCAGAGACAAGAAGTAACCAATTGCATTTTGGATACAGTCCAGAGCTTCTTAGCAGGGAGTTACCTATTCTCGTCTGGGGGAAAGAATATTTCTTATGCAAGCTAGAGAAAATGGCTGTCTGCATACACGCTTTTTGTGAAATGAAAGGCTCTGTATGGGAGTGGAGCATTTCTCTTTAAGTCTCTGAAAAGGCGTGCAGTTATGAAGAAAGGGCTGTTTAAAAGTTCTCCCAACCATATATGGAAGCGATTCTTTGGCTTGCACGTAGCTGGGGAAACGCTCAAAGGGCACCTCAATGTCATGCTATAGGAAACAACATCCAACCTTAGTCATTTAGTAAGAAAGAACATATAAAAACACAGTATGGACACTGGAATTGTATGCAATACCTACATTACACATGAGGAAACTAAAGATATACAAATGAAGACAAATTGATCAGATTTGTAATAATCCTACCATATACATGAAGTCTGAATTTCAACTTTGAATAAGCAGCAAAATTCAAAAATCCTCTCAATCACCAAGAGGAAATACATGGTACATTATGAGATTTTACTAAGTCTCATGTTTCATTTAAGGGGCAAGAATGACTGGGAAGTTTGTCAAGTATGTCATTTGAACATGTGGCTATCTTCTAAATGAAGTGTGCAACAAAGGTTTATAACAACATGATCATTTATTTATTTGGTCTTTCCCAGATACTTCTCAAAAGATACTAGAGCTTTTTATTGATATCACAGGTAGGCTTGGTATGGCCTACTGGTTGGACAGTGCTGAGGTACACCACAGACTGAGTTCACAGTATCATCCACTACAGAAGTTGTCAGTGCTGAATAACAATTATATCTGGAAAGCTAAACAACACAAGTCCTAATCTTCCTTTTTCAATGGCATTAAAAATTTAAAAATATCCTTTTAGCTTACAATAATCAGTTTTGAATGACTTATAACTCACAGGACAGTCATTTTCCTGCTAGAAAATAAATTATCAGATGTTACAATTGCTTGATATGCTATCGTGCTGTCACAACCCAGAGTCCAAGAGCCACATTGGCAGCCAAAAGTGTGCTGCCAGCAAGCAAAATTAAAAAGCCAATAAGCTCCCTGTTTTGTTTTTCAAAAACCAGTTTGCTAAGAGTAGCTTCTAGGAAAGAGTTTAATATCCATTGACCATCTAAAGCAAAGCAGGGTACTGCATTAATTACAGCCAGTGCTCCTGAAAGTGAAATAAGGTATCTTATTAAAATTAGTTAAGGTCTTGAACAAGCGCATACTTTTAAAAACATATGTATAAAATTCAAAACATCTAAAACACAGTAAACATCTAAAACCTCAAATATTTTAGCTTGAATTGTATTTTAACATAAATTGTATGCATTGTCCATATTGTGTTATATTGGCAGTGGAGAAAATCAAAAACCAAAAAACCCAGCCGCACAACAGACAACTCAAATTAGCCTAAAGTAGAGAACAGGATACACTGATGACTTGGACAATGAAGAAACAATGAAGCCAAAACCTAAGGTCTGGACACACCATGTGCTAAATAACAATTATGTTCAGAAAGCTAAATAAGCTAAGTCCTAATCTTCCTTTTCCAATGCCATTAAAATTGTATAGTTTAAAAATTGGAAGCACACAAAAATAATGCGACTCTCCTCTCACCTTTCCTCTACTGTCTACTAGTGGTGCTACTTACAGTGGAAGCCTTAGTTGGTCAAGTTTCATAACCTAGATAAGAAAATGCTGTTTAAAAAAGTGAAATATGCAATTGTTGTGGTGCTCAGGGATCTTTCTATGCATTAGAGATACTCACAGAGTCTTCTCCCTAAAAGCCAACACAAAAGTCAAAGGATACTTGCAAAATGTTTCCAGTACAACAGGCAGGTCCATACTGAGGAAGTTGTGTCGTGGTACAAAACTGCTGAGGCTCACTGAAACAACAGGAAGGATACATTTTAAATGTTTATTAGGAAAACGAAGACCATTACAGCGCCACTCATTTCTGATAATTTGTTCACAGAAAAACTTACATTTAAGTATTACCATAGTGGGATAATGTTTTACTTGAGTGGCTATGTAACACTCATAATTGTACTTTGTGAAAACATCTGAGCATGTGATGTGCTTGTTGTTACCTTACAATCAACTATCTACAATACACTGTACAACAACACTGCTATCTGAAGAACCACAGCGACAATTATGACATTAGAAGAGAAAGTAACAAAAAGGAAATGCATTCTAATGTTTCTAATTACCTCGCTCACAAATTTAGTCTCATACAGAGGAGCCTCTAGGGTGCAATGCAATGGTAAGGATAGTGCAAAGAGAAACTACAAGTGAGTTCTGATAAAGCATTACCTCTGTCCATTGAGTTCAAGATCCAATTTCAATGTTTAGGTATTCAAGTGATTCTGATTAATATAATTTTCTGTTTGGCTTGAGTTTCTAGAGTCAGATTTTACCAAATAATGGGATTTATATAAATGACAAAAATGTTATTTATGGATAGCCCATAAATATTAAATAGAAATGTGATGTGAAGACAATTTTATTTAAACAATTGATGGTGATATTTTAAGCTACCTAATGCATGCAATTATCAGGGACATATAACCAAAAATAGAATAGATCATCTGCCCATCAAGTATGAGGTCCATAGTCCATGTCTCTTTAAAATAATGTCCATGTCTCTTTCAAGTTTAAAACAACGTGCAACCAATGGCTCCAATTTTTGAGGTTGCCAAATCCAATATTTTTTAAAAAGAGACATGCACCTAATTTTACAGCCAAACCTCCATAACTGACAAGGTGTACATATCTGAATTCCAAATGGAAGGAAGAACTGGCATTGTGTAATATAGAACTTTCTCACTCCTGCCAAGTTGACTGAGAAGCCATCTACACCTAGGAAGGACTCTGCAACATCACACAGGTTTTAATATTATTGAAGGACATGAACAGCTGAATTCAAGAGAAGCCTAATTAACCAACTTAGAAACAAGCTGTTCCACAAATGTTATTTCTGTTTAATCATACAAACCTGTATATTGGAGATGTAGTGGGTGCCCAACAAATAGCATATCAACCTGAGGCAGATGATTTACCCGGATAAGTCTGGTTTGATTTTCCAAAGAAGGTGTCACACACAGACTTGAAACAAAGTTCTTCTGGCAGTCCTTATTAGTATGACAAAGTTGACTTGCCTCAATAGTTTTTCGTGCTGGCAGACAGGCATACTGAACAAAAAGTTTTAAATAATTATTGTATTAGACTACAGGTATTCACAGAAACACTATTTTACATGTGTATTTGTAAAGCAATGATGTAGAATGGGAAATTATTCTAATTTTGACATGCACATGCAATATCCTATATATAGACATATACTCTAAGCCAGGCTTTCCCAATGGTGCTATAAATGTTCTAGCCTACAACCCTCATAATTCCTTATGACTGGTTATACTGGGATGATGGGAATTGTATTTAGGGAGAATGCCAGCATGAGTAAGGCTGCTTTAAGCTCGGGCAAGCTCAACTCCATGGCCCAAATCACACTGATCTGAGGTTCCCCAAGCAGACACACATCCTGGTTCTGGTCCCACCCCGTGCCTCCAACCAGGATTGCCCCTTATTTGTTTGGAAGGATCCTGGCTTTTCCCATTTTTTTTCTTCATTCTAAAAATAAAGGTTGAAATGCCTCTCTTAAGGATCAATTTCTGATAATAAGAGTGGTGGTTTTGCTTCACCCCTTTTGTGTATATTCACCAAGAGCATGTAGCCTTTGAGAATGTCTCTGAAACTGAGCTCAGGCTTCAAGAGGTCTTCCTATTCCTGCTATAAGCTACAGATATGCACGGTCACCTGTCATTAACTTTATGTTGACAAACTGAGTCAAACAGCCTGAGGACACTGAACGTGCAGTAGAGAAGGTATTATAACACTTGTCTCCATTTTACTGGTGAAATGTGAATGGCTATTCCATATTTCAGGAGCCCCCTTCCTTAAGTTTGTACACAAACTGGTTATTTATTTATTAAGTTTGGAGATCAATTCTATCCTTACTGAAACAACTGGAACAACACCCCTCTGCCCCCCATCCCCCTTCTCTCTCTGTTTTTTTAGTTCATAAAGATATAACTAACCCAAGCTTGAAATCATTCACTTTTGTACAAGGGAAAGAATTATATTCAACTGTTGCCCAATATATTTGCAATCATTTTATTAACATAGGCATCCTGTCTATAACAGAGCATTTATCTAATTAGGCTTATAATAGAAGAGGATGTGTTTTTATTTGCCAGGGTCATGACCATAAAACCTGACACTTCACATCCAAACTGGAGACAGGCTAAGGGTGGTTCATGGTTAATTGCTTCTTAAAATACATTAATTTATTTTAATTAATTTTTACAATGTATGTTTGAAGCCTTTGGTCCTATCTTCAGCCACTATATGGCACACTGCCCTAATTGGCACATAATTTTGTCATCAATACAGTCTGAAAACAGAGAGAATAATTCTGAGATCATTCAATACTGCTATGGGGCAGCTATCCCTCTAAGTGGGTACAATCATATCTTTCTGCTGCTGTGTCATCAAGTTGTATCTGACTTATAGCAACCCTATAAATGAAAGCTTTCCAAAATGTCCTATCCATTACAGCCCTGTTCATCTCTTGTAAACTCAAGGCTGTGGCTTGTTTATGGAATCAAACCATCTCATATGTGGTTTTGCTATTCTTCTTCAGGGATTTTTGCCTTCCTATAATGTGATCAAAGTATGACAGTCTCAGTTTTGTCACGTTTGCCTCTAAGAGAAATTTTGGCTTGGCTTGATCTAGGACCCACTTGTTTGCCTTTCTGTCAGTACAGGGTATTCACAAGACTCTCCACCACCACTTTCCAAATGCATCCATTTTCCTCCTGCCAGCTTTTCTCAATGTGGATACATGCACAGTGATTGAGAATGTGAATATGCTTGACCTTGATCTCTAGTGAAATGGCCTTGCATTTGATCTGTTCTTGTTCCTTCATTGCTGTCCTTTTAAGTCTTTGCCTTCTTCAAACTTTTTGCCTACAGTCTCCATTTGGATTGATGTCTTAGCCAAGGTATGTAGAATTCTGTTTTAACAGAAGCTTCTTGTCCAAAATACAAGTTATGCATCAGGACAGTTGAGTGATGAAGCATTCCCATTCTTTCCAGTGCCATCCATAGCTTGTTGTGATCCATATACCTTTTCAGTATTCAATAAGGCATAGATTGATAATCTTGAATACTTCAGTGCGCTCCAGTAGTCAATGCATATCATACTTTGGGGAGCTATATGAATAAACTGTGGCAGTAGGCTATGAAGTGGAACAGGCACACTGCTCTTGGGGGCAGAACCATATGGGTATGCCAAGGCAAACATGGCTTTGTTCAGACACAGGCAAAATGTGTCCAATTCTGATAGCTGTGTAAGTTTTCTTGTGTGTGTCAAAGTAAAAGCCATTTGAAGCTGGGCAAATAAGAGTCTGTTCACTAGTACAGTAAATCTAAAAACAAATGGTGGCCAGTAGTACTGTTTTCCCCTGTCAAATATAGAGTGGGCATTAACTGTTTGAATGCCTATATTGCTTCACAGCTGAACAACCCGCAATGGTGTGAACAATCCAATCACTATCTCTTCCTAGCAGATTTCAGTCTAGCATTGAGAATAGGGTCTACCAATGTTAACACTAGGAGACTGTGAAATAGTATTTCTGTAGTTGATACAATGACAGAAAATTGAACAATGCACTTTGGATTCTGTCTGTGCAGCTTATTTTTGATTGTGTATCATTGTTATTCTCAATTATGCACTACTAATAATTATACTGTTACACTTGTCCTACTACATTGTTGTATTGGAAAAAAGGGTGATCTCAATAAAGGATTTGCAAATGGTGCCATGTTTAATATATCAAGAACTTGTTCGATGTTCTTGTGGTATGTTTGAGTGCTACAGTCATTTTCTCAACTGATGGAGGGTTAATGGATTTGTACAACTTGTAAATGCAGGAAAGGATTCAAATAATTCTGTACAGACTGGAGCATTGTTTGCTAAAGGGACAAACAGTTATACACACTACAGTAGCACAAGACTGGAGATACAGGCACCTATACAGTGATAAGGCCTCAAGCAAAATTTTCCTCACACTCAGCCCCAGTAGAATAAACTGACCTATTTGCTGCTGGCTCTTTATCTGCTGTGGTTTCTCTGTATGTGCATAGGGTTCAAAACCACAGTAATGAATACAGTGAGGTATATTTCCATCTATTGCATCAACTCAGTAATTTTTTTTACTCTATCATTTTTGTCTGGTCTTAACCATGGTATTCATGCCTGCACCTATAACCTCCTTTAGGACAGGCCAGTGGTAGCTCGGGCAAAGCTGTTCAGAGGCATCCAGAATGCCTCTGAACGCCTTTTCCTGAGGTAGTCTGTTACAGCAATAATGGGGCAGGGAAGGGGAAAGAACATCCTCTAGCAACAAGCATGAAGCCGAGAATGTGATCTGTGTCTGCTCCAGCAGCATGAATCAATCGTCATTTAGGTTTATTGCTAATATCTCAAGTAAAGAGACTGTACCACAACCCTAGTTTGTGTACCACTAGGTTACTATTTCAAATACATTTTAAAAGCCTGAAGCCAACAGTTCAACCAGAACTTGTAATGTATGCTAAACATACACATTTAGGCTGTTCAGATCTGACAGTCTGTGTAAATTATTTACCAGGTGACTGTTCAGATTATTGCTGTATGAAAAGCAGACATCCGTGAGGCTGTTATTGCTACAGCATTCAACGGTACCATCAAGTCGTCTAAAACCTAAAAAAAGAAAAAGAAACTTATGATTAGGTTTTCAGAGATCAGTTTGCCCAATTTGTAATTCTTGAGCACATCCCGCCTGTACTCTGCAAAACAAAAAATAAAATAAATAAAATAAAATGAATTATAGTTGCCTGTGACAGCTTGACATAGCTAAAAACATGACCTTCATTGCATGGTGCAGCTGTATCTCCCATGAACCTTCATTAATTTGTTTTTGGCACAGAGGAATATATAGTTAGCTTTAAATGTCAAAAGGAACCTGTCTGTCAAGGATATCAAGTTCTATTTTTAGATAGGATCACAAAGTTGCACTGACACCATTTAAAGCAGACTAGTTAGAACCCTTGTTGGCATTCCTGGATCTAATCTCTGCATCCTAAAATGGTTCAACTAATTTAATGCTCCTTCCTACAAAAGCTTTGTGAACTGCTTTTCTAAGCTAGGTTAAAGGGAAAGGGAGTTTCCAGGACAAAATGACAATTCCTAAGGGTTACTGGCACACAAAAAAAGCCCCAGCCACAATCACATGCATGTTTGCTGGGAGTTGTAGGACCTTCTTCCTGCCTAAACACATTTAAGATTGTGCCCTTCCCAGCTAGTAAGGAGAATGTATGCATAGTCACTGCTAATTCAAACAAAATTTATCAACGCACATTAAACAGACATCATCAGATGTTGATAACTGATTTGTCCAATGCATGGTTTTACAATTTACAACATTAGATAAATAAAAATAAAACATTCTTATTTCACTTATATACAACTTTATGTATGACAACATTAAAATGCATCAATTTCCCACAATTTAAAGAACAAAACTCACATCGGTATACAATCAACCATAGGCTACAAGCTGGGGAACTGGAGCTGCTATGATGTCTAACAATCCCATCCCTGACTTTCTGAATCCTTCTAGATTTGAATGTTGTGTAAACTAAATACAGTATAGAGGAACAAGCTGATTCGAACCTATGTATTGTTTTCCAGAGTCAACTGTTTCTACTATTTATTTCAATAGATGTATTACTAGGTTGTCTGTGTGTTTTTAATGCATTTCCCAGTCCCATACTGGATAATCACATTGAAGGAGTAAGAGTAGCATATTTAAATAGTAAGCAAAATGCTTTACAGATCATTTGATAATGAACAGTAGTGCTGATCAATTTAATGCTCAGCTGGAAAGACTGTCTACTATAATTAAGAAAGCGCTTGTAGCAAGAGGATACATGTTCTTCTAGCTGCTTAATAATCACACTAAGGCTTATTTGGTACATCAGACATCCCACTAGGTTATTTAAACAGAGGGTTGTTGGGACTACATGGGAGTTAAGCAAGCATGCTGGCTCTGCTGTACTTGCTGCTCCCACTTAGAACCTGATTTTTCAAACTCAAGAATGATTAACACATGTTATTTAATTCAACATCCAAAGCCAGAACACGGGGTTGTTGAAGGATAAACCCATGTTTTTCTATTGGGTTAAAACTCTGTGCCATTCATCTTTCAATAACCCAGAGTCCTAGGTTTGGAAGTTACATCAGTTGACCCAGGAATAGAGTATTGTTTGAGAAAAAGGATGCAAAGCAGAAGTGGTGACCATTTGTGCTCAGTGCTGATCATTATGTGCTCATTCCCGTGTGGCCTCAGTAATTCACATATTTAGCAAATCGCTGTCATGAGTGAGCCATATCTAAATGTTGACATCAGTATTGTTGTATCCCTACTGTGCACTTTCAAACATGTGCTACACTAGGCAGTTTTTTAGAACAGGCATTCTACATTTTTACACACAGGAGGGAATGCACTTAGAAGATGGTACTTTTCCACATATCCAATTTACTGATTTTTTCCCACCAAAAAACCTGCTAACCTAGTAATCAGGCAAATCTTTTTAGTCAATTAAGACACCAGTAAATATAATTCTTAAAATCACCACAAGGTGCAATCATCTACTATATGCAAGTAATGATACCTCTAGATGGGAAGCTAAGCTGTTGCAGTATTGATGATTTTATGCAATAGCCTGTTTGTGGCTTCAGAGAAATCTTCCCCAGGCAGGAATTCCAATCTTCCACATTATGAACTGAACAGTCTTGCAAACTGGTAACAAGATCACCAACAAAGAGGCCTCTGGGCCCATTAGCAGGAGAATCCTAAAATCAAGTAAATATTGAGTTTATAAATATGTGCATCGTATTCTGTATAAGTGCCTAGGTCTTTTTAATAAACTATATTCATATGTGTTATTAAACCATAATTGAGCATGATGTGACTAAGCAAGAACAAGCTGCAACAAACCTCAGATATTATCTCTAGTTTCAAACAGCCAACTATTTTTAAAGGTGGCAGAAAAATCTCCCAAGAAATTAAAGACCAATAAGTCTTATTGACATTACAGCTAAATCTTATGCCATTTTTACTTTATAAAATGAACCTTGGGCTGTTTATAACAGTATTTTTGTTTAAAAAAACAGACCAGGTTTAGACAAAGATATTCAACTCTTCTTAAAGACTAACACATTTATTATAATGTAAGTTTTTGTGGACTAGAATCCACTTCGTCAGTTATATGAACTGTTATCTGAAACTGCCCCATCCCAGCAGTGTTGAACCTCTTCCAACATGGGAGCTGAATTCACTTTCAGATAAGTTCTGGGGGGAAGTGTTTTGACCTGTGATAGGGAGAGCTGAAGAAAAAACAGCAGAGGCAAAAGCAAATAAATATGGGCAGAAATACCTAAAGTAGTTTTATGTAAAGTTCTTACTACCAGCAGACATTTCAGCCTTTTAAAATGGGTAAACAACTGCATAAATTCTAGGAAACCAAATAATAAACAGTCTGGGTAGAAAGGGTGTGCATGCTTGCCAAGCTAAAATAACACTTCATGGCCCTGATAAAGTGGGCTGTAATCCTTGAAAGCCTTTACCATCATATATTTGTTAGTCTTCAAGGTTCCACAACTGTATTCATTATTGTTTTCACTTCAACGCATACTAACATGGCTATGTCTCAACCCTTTAAAATCCATTAATTTTGGGCCGTGTCCTGGTTAGACACAGGATGCTATGAATCCCACAAATACTTATCTTTATTGCTTGCTGTAGTTTTAAACTTTTAGGACCTGCATGTTTATACAGGAAAAGGTCCTACAACTCTCAGCTGGATGTTGTAAGGCATTGCTTTGTCTAAACCTTGTATTTTGTCATGTTATATTTCATGGTTTTAATTACTGTGAACTGCCCAGAGAACTTTGTCTACTGGGTGGTACAGACATACAATCTAACAATCAATATATGTAACTAAACTGGTAATACTTTTGCTTCACTGTGGTAGTTCTGAAAGAGAAGGATCAACTCTGAATTATTCCAGAGAAGGATCAACTTTGATTTTTCTGTCACTAGCCTGGATCTCTCTCTGCTGTATTCATACACTGCTCCATATGCAGGCATTGTTCTTAGGATCAAATAGAACCCCAGTGATATTTTAACCCTTTCCTCATAAGTAACTGAATTCTCTTCCAGTTCTCTATAGAACTGTAGCTCATGCTATTGTCATTCCTACTGTTTATACAGTTTTAATTAATTGCAAGATCCAGAGAGGTTCATAGGTGTCTCCAAAATATTTTCTTCCATAAACATACTGGGGAAATAAATAACCAATCATATTAGGTGACAGTCTGCAGAAGCCCAAGCCCAACATGTCATCTAACAGCTGTTATTCCATCTTATTAAAGTGGAGAGAGAGAGAAAGCTGGGAAGTAAGATATTCTGTCAGCTCTGCTGCATACACATCCTCCTCTTCCTAAACAGCTGGTCATAAAGGGAACTTGAATTTCCTTCACAACTCATCCTTTAGTTAGTTCATTCTACCTAGAACCAGACTGTTAAGACAGTGAAAGTACCATTAGCAAGGAAGTGTGCTCCCTATACTCAGTCCCAAGCAGCAGTCTGGCCTTAGCATTCTGAACTGGCTGAAGATTCCAAAGGTGTAACATCTTACCTTTCAAGTCGTGTGAAAAATGTAGCAGTTTATGGCATTGTATGGAATTGCAATGACATTTTGACCCAATCTTGAGGCCCTGTGTCCACCACCTCTGAAGAAGCAATTTCCCAGCATTTCAGAGGGCCCCTTTAAAGAGTGATGGATTATAGGGTACTGTTCCTAAGCACTGAATTGTTCATAGCTCTTACCTCTGCAACTTCAATGACAAGTGCCCCTGCACCAGTGTAATAAAGTGGAAAAAGAATAGCTGGCAGCAAAAAGAGAACCGCAAGGCTTACAAGCCCAAGCATAAAGTTATGCCAGACTCCTACAAGACAGAAAGACAAAAACAAAATCTATGCAAGGACAGCAGACTCAACAGTATCTTAATATACTATTACTACTACTACATTTCTATACTACCCATAGTCGAGGCTGAGTGGTTCACAACAATTTAAATCACCCATCCAGATTTCAACAAGACCCAATCCTGCTTAGTTTCCAAGATTAGGCAGGATCTTTGGCACTTTAGGCTATTAGAGCTGGTTCCTTACTTTACTGCAAATAACACATGCTTAAGTAGATAGGAGTATATCACAGAAGTTCTGATTTGGGATATAATAGAAAATTAAGGTCTAAGATTAACACAGCAAGCATAAACAGAGCTGTACTTGGGAGAACTTGGAGATAAATGGGTGTTCATGACGAATTATACTACACTACTGCAGTACCCAAAATAAATGATGATATGGGAGTAATCCAACTACCAACAGGATGAACACATCTATGGGTATTGGCAAGATCCATCAAAATGATGAAGCATTCTAAGAGGCAAGATTAACTTTGAATGACTACTGAAGAGAGCTGATTTAGCACTGAAAATAGATCACATGCCCCACAACATGTCAACAGTACATAGTGTTTAAGGACACAATGAACAGAGAGGATTAATGAGAGAGACTTTATATTTCATCTGTCTTGTGTGCCTTAGCTGTTTCTTTCACAGAATCAAACTAGCCCCCAAAGACCTACAAATGTAGAAATTACATGTGCTGTGCCATGCCAGATACCTTTATTTGGAAACTGGGCCCAACTGAGAGCTGATTCACAGGAAAGGCCTAAAGTGTGAGATGCAAGTTGCTACTCCTTACCTTACTTCACCCGGTGCCCAAGCTATTATTTTAGCCTCAGTTCCATTTGTAATATGGAAATGTTAATAAATTGTCTCACACAGCTGCTGTTTATGTAAACTTTGTGTATGGTATAGTTTTATAATACAATGTATTTGTTTTCACAGTGCTTTGAATATTCAAGAATGGTTATATATGGGTTCGGAACCTGCGGTCTGGGGAACAAATCCGATCCTACTGCGGACCCCCAGTTGGTGATGGGGGTCTTGCCATCGTCCCTTTGCCCGAACCCTTTTTCTCAGCTATCAAACATTGTTTCCTAGGTTTAGTGCATTTCCACCATTCTAAGTGTTGGAATGCCTCTCCTAAGGCTTAGTTACTGAAGCTTAGTGATAATATGCTGGTGTTTTCTCAATGTTCTGGTTTCACCACCTTTGCCTTTCACACAGTCACCACTGAAAGCCCAAAATGGAATTCAGCCCTTGAGCTAAAAGGCATTTTCCATTACTATGCTATACAGAGAGTGCTATGTATTATTAATTATCTAAATAGGCCTTGTTTACAAGTAAGGTTGCTAAAATTGCTATAGCAAAATTACTTAATATAAGCAGTCAGTGCCCTACGTGGCATCAATTTTACTTAGCAGTTTCTTTCTGTAGATATGATTTTTTTGTGGGAGGGGAAGTTCTCTAGGAAGGTGAATGCTTCCAATCTCCACGCACATGTGCATGTGCACACATGCATACATGCACACACCATGGATATATATTGTACAAAGTCAATGTGGAGAATCTCAGGAATTGCTATAACACAGAAACATAGAAACAGAGTGAGTCAGAAGGGGCTCCCGGGCCATCTAGTCTGACCTCCAGCTGCAGCTGGTTCCGCTCATGACATGCCCGCCATGCGCATGTCCAGCCTATCTTTGAACACCCTCACCGACGGGGCCTCAACAACCTCTCGTGGAAGCGCATTCCACACCTTCAGGGTCCTGACTGTCAGGAAGTGCTTCCTTGCATCCAAATGGAACCTTGGCTCCCTGAGCTTTGCTCCGTTGGAGCGCATCCTGCCTTCCTCTGCAGGGGAGAACAGGTCTCTACCCATCTCCATCTGACATCCCCTCACATATCTGTATGTTGCCAACATATCCCCTCTGAGTCTATAACATACCCTTTTACTTAAAATATTTCATCTGTTTGGAGACAATCTTGTTTTCCATTTTTATTATCAAGTTATAATAGGAACCAAAAGTAACCAAGCACAATGATCTTGGTGGCAGATGTTTTCTCATCATTCTTCTACATCAGTCACCATCTGCATTTCTTGAAATTTCCTTGTGGGATTAAGCTTGCCTGTTTATTATTATGTAGCTAAGAATTTGTCTACATTTCCGTTACTAGCTTGCTTTAATAATATGGTAGATTCTTCTCTTCAGAGACTTTAAATCACATCTGGCTTAAAACTAAATTGGCACATAAATTCAGCCAGAGCACTAATCCTCCTCATTCATAAGAAGAATATTCACAACAAGGGCTCAAATTAAGTGGGCGAGTAAACTATTTCATTTTCTATTTGAAATCATCCCAGCACACAATTCTGCTTTAACAGTCTATTTCAATTAGTGAGAAAGATTGTGCTAATCTATCAATTAGTGAAATAGATTTTATTTCCTTCTTCTTTTTCACTTTTTATGAACCATGCTTTCATTACTGCAGTACTAAGTTGTAGGTTAACTGCAAAAAACAAAAACAAAAAAACCCCACACAGTTCAGGCATCCTTCATACCTCAAAACAACTTTGCTAGTCTCAGTTACAGACCCAGTTAAATAAAACTAACTAGGAGAAAGTTACCTAGTAACTTTACCTAGTAAGTTACCTAGTAACTGTAAGGGTGCGGACCCGATTATGTGGGTCCGCCCCCGGAGCCGGATGGATCCAGAAGGATTCCTGAAGGCCCTGGGGGAGTTTCCGGCTGACAAGACGGGTGCTCCTGTCGAGGCTCTGGTCGAACTGTGGAATGGGGAGATGACCAGGGCTGTTGACACGATCGCTCCTAAGCGCCCTCTCCCACCGGGCAGAGCCCGCTCTTCCCCTTGGTATACTCCTGAATTGAGGGCGATGAAGCAGGTTGGGAGACGACTAGAGCGTAGGTGGAGGAAATCACGAGATGAATCTGACCGAACACAGTTAAGAGCCCACTATCGGGCCTATGCTGTGGCGGTGAGGGCGGCAAAAAAGAGATTCTTTTCCGCTTCCATTGCCTCCTCACAATGCCGTCCAGCAGAGCTCTTTCGAGTGGTGCAAGGCCTGGTTCGTCCAGGTCCTAAGGAAGACCTGATTCCACCCTCAAAGGCCCGCTGTGACGACTTTGCCAGGTATTTCAGGGAGAAAATCGCTCAGATTCGTCACGAGCTGGACACCACTATTGATTCAGAGGTTTCAAAGGAGACACCAATGCTGCCGTCTGGTCCAGATTTATTGGATGAATTTCAGTTACTGCGGCCCGATGACGTGGACAAGGTGCTTGGGCGAGTACGTCCAACCACTTGCCTTTTGGACCCTTGCCCGTCTTGGTTAATAAATGATTCCAAGCACGGGATTGGAACCTGGATCTTGGAAGTGGTTAACGCTTCTCTGAGGGAGGGTCGGGTGCCTGCCCCTTTGAAGGAGGCGGTAGTCCGACCGGTCCTGAAGAAGGCGTCACTGGATCCAGAGATGGCCACTAATTATAGACCAGTGGCCAACATCCCGTTTCTGGGCAAGGTGTTAGAACGAGTGGTGGCGGGACAACTCCAAGCACTCTTGGATGAAACTGATTATCTGGACTCATTGCAGTCCGGCTTCAGACCTGGGTACGGTACTGAATCTGCCTTGGTCGCCCTGTACGATGACCTGTGCAGGGAGAAGGACAGGGGGAGTGCGTCCCTGTTGGTTCTTCTGGACCTCTCAGCGGCTTTCGATACCATCGACCATGGTATCCTTCTGGATAGGCTTGCGGGATTGGGGGTTGGAGGCACTGCTTTGCAGTGGTTCCGCTCCTATCTCAATGGCCGGTCCAGAAGGTGGTGCTGGGGGACTATGGCTCTGCGCCATGGCAGCTATGCCATGGAGTACCGCAGGGGTCCATTTTGTCCCCTTTGCTGTTCAACATATACATGAAACCGCTGGGAGAGGTCATCAGGAGGTGTGGGCTGCGGAACCATCAGTACGCTGATGATACCCAGCTCTACCTCTCGTTTTCCACCAATCCAGGTGAGGCAGTGGCTGTGCTGAACCGGTGCCTGGCCGAGGTAATGGGCTGGATGAGGGCCAATAAACTGAAGCTCAATCCAGACAAGACGGAGGTCCTGTTGGTTGGCGGATCGGGCTTCGGAGAGGGTGAATTGAACCTTGTCCTGAACGGGGTTGCACTCCCTCTTAGGGACAAGGTCCGCAGCTTGGGAGTGCTCCTCGACCCAGAACTTTCACTGGAAGCTCAGGTAACAGCAGTGGCGAGGAGCGCTTTCCTCCAGCTTCGGCTAATTCATCAGCTGCGCCCCTATCTGGAGAATGACTGCCTTGCGACAGTGACACATGCGTTGGTGACTTCCCGTCTGGACTTCTGTAACGCGCTCTACGTGGGGCTGCCCTTGAAGATGGTCCGGATACTTCAATTGGTCCAAAATAGAGCTGCCAGGCTGCTGACGGGGACTGGACGTTATGTTCACATGACTCCAGTTCTCCGTCAGCTTCACTGGCTTCCCATTGAAGTCCGGGCCCAATTCAAGGTGTTGGTAATGACCTATAAAGCCCTAAATGGCTTGGGTCCTGGTTACCTGAAGGAGCGCTTACATCCTTATATGCCCAGCTGCCCCCTGAGATCGGCGGGAGAGGCCCTTCTCTGGGAGCCCTCCATGGAAGAAGTTAGGAGGGTGGTTACTCGGAGGAGGGCTTTCTCAGCGGTGGCGCCTAAGTTATGGAATGCACTCCCCAGAGAGGTCCGCCTGGCGCCGTCGTTATTTGTTTTTCGGCGCCAGGCGAAGACCTTTTTATTTAAGCAGTATTTTAAATGTTAATATTATTGAATTTTATTTGGCCAGGGCGGCTTGTTTTTTAGTGTATGTTTTATATTATATATTTGTATTTTATTGTATATATTTTAAAATGTTATTTTAATTTTTTGTTGTAAGCCGCCCCGAGGCTTCGGCGAATGGGGCGGCATAAAAATGTTTTAATAAATAAATAAACTTGCAAATAACATTATCAACCAACCTTGAAAGAGCACAAGTTTTCTCTAATCCCTAATCCAGAGATCTATGGATCAAGTTCTCTTTTCTGATTCTGCTGGATCTCGTTCCCACTTCTCCCCATTCAACAGGTAAGTCAAGGGAGAGAATGAAGGGATGCATGGATTCCTCCCTGCCCCCTGGTAACCCAACCCAGAAGATGTCCAGGCAGTTTGATGAATGCAGAAAATTAGGGCTAAATGAGAATTCTCAATTTATAATGGGAGCAAATGAGAGGCCTGATATGGGGATACTACAACAGGTCTGTGGTCATAAAAGTATGATCTAGACATGCATACCCCATTGTTGAATCTGATCAGAGTGACTGGCTATATAGACACCCCTTTAAAAACTTGAGGGTGTGCGTATCTTTAAATATAGACAAAAAATGCACCTGAGTTACTGGTCTTTTTATGTGAAAGGTTTTAAGTCCCCCATCCTTAATCATACAGTCAAGTTTCTGTCCCATAAGCAGAATAGTTTCAACAAAGAATGGTGTGTATGGTCAGCCCACCATCCAAATGTCACTGAAGATGCTAAAAAAAGAGTTCTTATGCTAATAACTGAAAAGCACCACATAGAAATCCAGAGAGGACCTGTGGTAGTGCAGCAGCTTTCAGAAGGATTCTCACGGATGCAAAAGATGGAAAAGCATCAACCCATCATTTCTGCAACGCAATCAAATCTATTTACCTTAAGTCATTCTCACATGACCAATATTACTAAACTAACAATTGAAAATCAGTAGGGCTATATTCAGGATCAGGGTAGGGTTAGGTCAATTTCTGGATAATGGGAAAACCATCACACTAGGAAAGCAAAGGGGTCCTTGTAAAAATGTTTAGTCCTCTCAATGTGTTTTTAAACAATCCAGGTGCCAAAAAAATTCCAACAATGACAAGGCAGAAGTCGGATATAAGATTCAGTCTATGTCCAAAAAGTACAGTAATTCCACTAAAGAATATGATCAGTCCTTGCACTTTCAGGTTTTCTCTGCAACTGACAGCTTCAAAACAACATGAAACAAAAAATATGTTGCAACATAACTATCGCAACTTATTTACCTGCACAAAATATTCGTAACTGCTGGACTGGAGAAATTAGTTGCAAATGGGTGGTGAACAGATCGACAAATGCCCCCGGATAAACAATAAATATAAACATTCCAAAGCCATTGAACCGAACCTGCTCTCTAAAAGAAAAGGAAATACATTGTTTTTGCAAAACCAGAATAAATTGCTTATATTAAAAAGTAACTTAAATGAATCTGTGGCTAGGATTATTAAATTTATGTATTACTTCCCAAGTAAAATCAGTCATGGATGCAATTTAGAGCTTAGAATTTAGACATGCAATACTAAAATCAGTGATTAATAGGGGAAAATCAGCACAATAACAGAAATTAAAATGCATACAAACAATCTAGAGGCAAAGTAATATGAAAAGCACTCAACCACGCATGCACTAAATCTTCCCCACTCACAGTTATATTCTTAGTTTAATCTTTACAAGAATCCTGGAATGTCAGCCAGCATTATCATCCTACATATTACAGAAAGAGGAGGCTGAGAGGGAGCAGCATGCCCAGGGACATCAAGCACGCTCATGGCAGGAGCGAAATTTAAACCAAGAATATGACCATACTGGGTAAGAAATTATGAGAATTGCAGTCCAACTCATCTGGAAGGCACTAGCTTTGGGAAGACTGATGCATCCTAAAATTCCTCCCACACCTGATCAGAACATAAAGAGACATGTTCATCTAGTTCTTTCTGTCATTACACAAAAGATCTTGGTAAGGCAAAGATCTAATAACTGCTAATTCGAATGACTTTGATAGCACCTATGAGGCTGATGAAGAATAGAAATAGCTGAGTATACATAGTACACAACAGAATAGAGAGAAATTTTAAAACAGCCAGGCTGATTCAGATGCCAGCAACACCAAAGTATTTTTGTACCCAAAGTAACAAGTAACAGCCTGGCTTGGTTTGTGCATAATGAAACCCATCCAATTCAAAAACAGGTTGTCATGTATGGTCAGCTTTGTCATGACATGCAAATAGGACCCATGTATTATAATTGTGTGCCTCTCTCAAACAGTTTCAGAATTTAGGTTCCCCATCACTTCAATGCCTTGCTTAAATTCTTTAAAGTGATCTCTCTCTCATTCTCTCCCTCCTTCCCAACTGGCCCTATATTATCATTTTCTGTAATTAAATCTTATGGCATATTAAGATCTCTCAGCATGAAAAAAACACACGAGTGGATTGCATTACCGAATAGCTGCCACCCCATGGCCAACTTCATGTATGACAGCACTGATGAGGATTGCTGTGAAGAAATAGGACAGCTGGCTGATGGGAAGGTTGACCCCAGGCACCTGTTTCCAAAGACACAACAAGACACTGCGTAGCAAGACTTGCAACGCCAAGTCTACCTGCATTCTGGCAGCTGCCTAGAAACCACTTCACAAATGACAGCAATGCTATTCCGATGTCATGTCACTTGAGCAATCAGGTACATGAGCAGGAGCAGTCCTTCACTTTTGCACAGCAAAGGGGAAATTTCAACAGGCTTAACTGAGCTATCTGGGATTTCACAAATGGCTGGGGGAAAGCTTAATAAAGGGCAACTGCATGGGAAGCTTACAACTTTAATCTGCTACTATTGGTAATAATGAATAAACAAGTGAAGAACACACTCAACATTATTTAGGACAAAAACAAAACTATAAGAAGAAACAAAGTTCTGATAGAGGGACAAGACTCGGGAATCACACTAAGTGCAGGGAAGAGGGCAGCTGCTGCTGTAACTTGGCCCTAGCAAAATAAAGCATGTTATCTGCCTCAAGCTAAAAGAATGCAGCATATTAGCTTTCTTGGCACGAAGCAAGAAAAAGAGGAGCTTGTAATTTGGAAAACTGTTCCAGGCAACAAAACGGCTGCCATGAGAAGTATGGCTGCTCAGAAGGCTGAGTGGGGGTATGAGCCTCAACATATTGAACAATTCCTTTGAAGCCACCCTTTTCGACATCAAGAGAAGCCTGAACACAAGCACTTCCCATTCCCCCTTCTGTCAACCAAATCATTCCCCCTTTCCCTTTCTTATTCTAGATGGCTAGGGGCACTGCAGGGAAAGCATCAGCTTGAAGCTACACACCATCTTCATTTCCAAGAATGTCTCTGACTTCCCTTGTGATCACCACTGTGCTCTGAAGTGATTCCAGCTGCTACTAAGAAAATGTACAGATTAAAAAACCAAGCAGGATGGGCAACAGAAGCGTGTGGGGCTGCCTACAGCCATCATATTACCTGCACTGGATTTGGCCTGTCTTAACTGTGTGAAAACATGGGAAGAAAGGATATTAATGGAAATAATTAAATATAAAGGATATACATCATGCTCACACTAGCATATGCCAAAAATGCATATGCTTACAACACAACGCACATAACAGGGTAGAAAGTCGGAAGAACATAAAAATGCAGTTTCCAGAGAAGATGAAGCTTTGGGCATCTCCATAAAAGACCATGATGTGTTGAATTTGCTATCAGAACCTGTTCCTTCTCTTTCTTAATAAAAAGGAACTATGGAGAGAGCTGAAAATGGAGCAGAACTACAGTGCAGGAGGAGAGGGATCTCTTTCCCACCACATACTGTTTCCTCAGCCAAGCATCGCCCAAGCTCTCTAGGTACCTCAAATAATACATAGGGGGGACAGGAGACAATGCTTAGTAGGAGCACATTCCCCCTCCCCATTTTTCTTGCTTTTGATTAAAAGTAGTGGCATATCCTAAGGATGTGCATTTAAATAACATACTTAACAATTTGGCCCACTTTGTACCAGACACAAAAAGAAAAGCAAGATAATGTCATGAATTCTTTTATCCATATCAAGTTCTATGTAACCCTATTAAATTGCAGCACCTGAACCTCAGTCCTGTTGTGCTACATGCAGAGGAAGCCTCAACTGACTGGGACAGGAACGGAAACTGTTACTGAGTTTCTCACTGGGAGCACACACCACCCTTTAAAGCTAATCATCTGGTGCCCTCCACATGTTTTTAACTACAGTCCCCATAATCCCTCCCCACAGGTGAAACTGGATGAATCTGAGGGTAGTTGTAATCTCAAATATTTGGAAGACACAAAGTTGTCTTCCCCCAGAATAGAATACCTTGAGAACATCCAAAGTGGGTTCCTCATCTTCCTCCAGGACCTACCAGGAGCCTTTTTCAACCTTCATCTGCAGCACATGGCTTTGCTCAATTGCTTAAGCCAAGCATGTGAATAACCATTTGCAAGGTCTCTGTGATGACCTGTAAGCTTATATAGATGCTTTTATATTCTAAAAGAAAGTTAAATAGTTGTGCTGTCTGTCCGTTTGTGTAACCACTGAGTTAGTGAAGCACATCGGCACTGAACAACATACATTTGTGGGCTTGAAATTTCTAAGTACTTCTCCACAGGACTAGCTTAAACTATTTGCAAGCTTCTTTCAACGGGAAGGCGCTTTGGTGGCACCTTTCAGCTCTCTTTCTTTTCCATTTAAATCTAGATCCTACCCGTCTTCCAAGGAGGTCAGATAAGTCTATATGGAGCTCTGTATAAAAGACTAGGGCATAAGACACACAGTGAGCTTCAGTGATGTGATTGCAGGTCTCTTTGACCCCTGATTCTTTACACCACACTGACTTTGTCTAGCTCTCATATAACAGCTGCAGGAGCAACCATATGATTTTCATTATTTAAGCATTCTCCAGTCTCCCTCACCCCTTCCCCCAACTTCTAAGCTGCTATGAAAGCTGGGCACAACAGGATCACTTACTCTGACTAAGACTAGTGGTCAGGTGGTTGTTCATGCCCTGATAACTCTCCATTATTTCTGAAGAGGCCCTGCTCAGAAAAATGCTACACTTTTTCTCTTTTGTGCAAATGGTAATCCATGAGGCCACAGAAAATCATTCAATCTGTAAAACATGTCCTAGTAGCAGGCATGTTTACAAACAATATGGTGCCTGCTTTAGTACTGAGTGCTCTGTAGCATGCTGATGTGACAAAGAAACCAACTTGGCCTCTTTTGGCTTATATACAAGTTTGCATATGTAAAAGGTACAAGCAAGACCTTTGGATTAGTTGGTCCAAAACCATAGAAGAACATCTCACTAAAGATGCCAGGTTCCTGCTACCCTGTGTGCCTACACACACTGCGCCTACACACACTTTTTTAAGGGGTTAAAGTTTAGTTTTCTTTGCTTGTCTGGATATTTTTTTAATTCTGCACTTGCTTGTTGTTGTAATTTCAGCTGTTTTAAGACACTTTGACCCTTGCACACACACAAGGGAAATGTTTTATTTAAAATATAAATACAAACATGGGAAAGAAAGTTGATGCTGAACAGCTGATGATTTCACTGGAAGCATTGCTTAAACTGTAAATACCGAAGTAAAACTCACCACCACTTGCAACATCTGATCATTCTGCCCTGTAGGAGCTTCAGACCACATTTGTGAAAGTGTGTGCATCAGTGTCTTCCCCAGGAGAACAACAGAACCAAACATAGCTGCTATGCCAAAAAACATCCCCATGCTAAACCTGAAACAAAGATAGAAATGCTGTCATATGCTACAGAGAGAACACTACTAATTTTGCTCTTTGTTGGGAAAAGCCAAGCTCCATGAAAGTGCCCCATGGAAAGTGAAGCCCTACTTTCCATCCACAATGTCAGACGTCAACATCATTTCAAAGACAAACTTGAAAAGCCCGGTCAGCAAATTCATCATCTATCAGGCTTCATCACCTCAGTTCTCCCACACCAAGAATATACATTCTTTGTATGGTGGTTTAAGCAATACACAGAAATTGCTATTCAAGAGGGAAACAAAAGGGTATTCTGTGTAGTTTTACAATTATCATGTAAAGCACTCAGTCCCAGAATGTAACTACTTTGACCAGCAGGATACAAAAGAATTTCCAGTAATTGTTCCACACATGACTGCATTATAATTCTGAAACAATACCATAGATAAAGAAATTTAGGTTTCCATCGTCCCCAGCTGTAGAACAGACGATTGAAAAGAGTTGTCTGCCATCGCATATGAAATGGAGAGAGAGTCAGACCATGAGATGTGAGCCAGTCTTCATAAGATGCCTTCAGAGAGGAAGATGACTATTAAAAGAAAAAGAAAAAAAGTATGACATAGAAAGATTTTCAGGCTGGAGCTGTGACTGCACGAACTTCTCACTGTTGCAGCTCTTTGCTTTTTTTTTGTTCTGGCTAGTCCCTCCGCTGCTATAACTGCACATCCTAGCTTTGTCACAGGTTTTTCTCTGACTCAGAGAAGAAAGAAAAACACAGGCACAAACATACCCCTACACAATTAGTTTTGCTGAAATATATGTAAGATAAAGATAGATACTTATTTGGAGATCTGACATTTATAAACCTGTTGAAGTATTTTCAGATATATGCATTTAATATGTATTCATTCCTATGAATGCATACAAATTAATATATGCATATTTAACTGCCCCCAAATATAACAAGATAAAAAATAAGAAATGGAAAAAGTATTTGCCCTCTGAGAAGGACTGAGAAATAGCCAGGGTCTGTATAATATTACTGAATGAAAAAGAAATGAAATAATGCTGAGATTTCCAACAGGAAACCTATTGGCATCAGCCTTCCCTCAGATACCTGACACCAGCCAATCTCTCATCCCTCCTTTTTCTCCACCGGGAGACTGGCATGCTGCAAAATGAAGTGGTACCTTCTAGCACCAGCTTTGAGTTCAAATATGGTTTCAAGTTTTAGAGCTTGGCTGTGTTATCACAGTGCATGGGATAGTTACTTTTTTCTAGTCTAACCAATTGCCTTTAGGGAAATGAATATGACTTGCCAGGTTCATCATGACAGCCATTCTGAGAGAGTACCTACAACAATCTCAAAATTCTAAATATAGCAACAAATTCAAAGAGTTTGAGGACCTCTCCTAATGTGTCTACTAGAAAGAATGAATAAATGGAACAAATAATGTTGGGCACATACTTTTTCACCTAAGACAAAAACAAAATCATCAGAGGAAACAACATGTTATAGAGGAACATACACTTAAACTGTAAGGCATGCAACATATTTCAAGTTGAAAGTTCGGAGCTGATTGGAATTCTGAATGTGATGTAACTAAGCAGATGCTTCATACTCTTACTTGTATGAGAAAAGATAATCCGCCCAAACAGAAGAAAATAGCCAGCATCTGACTGACTTAAGCTGTTGATACACAATAAGGCTACCCACTGCAATTATGGCCACCACTTCATCTGTCATATCCTATCTATTGGGAATAACAGTCTTCCACATATTAATAAACTATTCATTATTATTATTATTATTGGATTGTTCCACACTACTGGCACAGGTAACAGCAAAACTAACCTGGCACAGCAAAACAGAATAAATTCCCACCAAATAAAAATCCACCAAATCCTAAACATTTTCCTGCTGCTTAATGACTTCACCATGGACTCCCTAAGTCAGTTCAAACACTTCTGCAAAGTGTTCAAATGACTTGGTCAGGAACTCCAGGGAAAATGGATCCAGAATCTGGAGGGGACACGACAGCCATTTTGCTCTTTGAACTTTGTATTTGTCACAGAAAATGGTCTCTAACATACATTGCATACAAACTAATGATATTGATTTACCGGGCTTAAGCAAGTTTGGGTGGGGCTGGGGTTGAAACACAAATACACAATGATTTCCAATTCAAACCTCCAACTGGGTTTAAATGAGGTCAAGTCACATTACTTAAAATAAAACAAAGAAAGAGCCATTAAATTATTACAAGTTCCCAAATATCCAATATTGTACGTATTGGTGTCCAAGAGCAGATGCCAGATAGGAGTTGTTAAAAACAATATCCTTTATTGACTCTAATTCTGTATATGAATATTGTTGTGTTCTATATTATATGTGTCCCATCAGCCTCATGAAAACAGTTTCTCCATATACAGTTGTGTTCCTACATTACCAATGGTCAAAACAAACTATCTACTCTCTGTACACAGCGCAAAAACAAACATGTAGCACCTGTAGGCACATGCAGTTGCAGTGTTGACGACAGGTGCACATCATGTGCAAAGGAGGAAAAGGTAGCCACTAATCCCATGTTCCGGGGGGGGGGGGGGGGAGATACAGAATAGTGGCTCTGCTTATGAGCAATGGAGTGCATCCTTTCTGAGACTTGAGTAACCAAGGAAAGTTTATCAGCTTTATTTCTCGCAGGACCTCTGCGCCTTTAAAAGCAAAAAAGCTACATGACAGTCACAGATCGGGTGCTCCTGTTGGATCTCTACCTGCCTTGCTGCCGTGAAAGGCTCCACCCGCAGGACCAACCGTACTGCAAAGGCCGCTCGCCGCAGCCTCCCTTTTCAGCTGGTTCCGCTCCACACGCCCCCTAGTGTCAGAGCGTGTGCAGGAACGCGCAGTGACCGCGCGTCCGGCGCAACCTGCGGGCACACACCGCCCGGCTGTTGCGCGCCAGCGCTCCGACGTCGCCCGCGCACGCATCCGCGCACAGCACCTGCACGCCTGCTCCAGCCGAGCACTGCCTTCGAGGGCGGCCGCGGGGAAAGTGCGCCCGGCTTTCTCTCTCACCTTCAGGGCCGTGTCGGCGAGGTATACGGCGCACCAGCCCCCCAGCACGCAGACCACCACCGGCATCGGAATCATAGCCGCACGCGGGAAAGGGCACGTCGCCGGAGAGCTCGCGCCGGAGATTCGGCTTTCGAGTCCGGAACAAAAGGCTGCACGGAACTGCCCCCTACGCACCAACTTTGTGGAGAAGGAGACTTCCGGCAGTCGCACCAGGAAGGAACACATTGGGTCGTCTAAGACTCCAACGTATTCGATCCTCTATCTAGACGTCCGGCTCCCTTTCGCAATGGGTGGAATTCTCTCTTTGCTACTGTGGGATGTAGTACGGAATTAATGCCCAAATAAATCATGCTGGTTTTTTTGACACAATGCGTTGAAATAATAATGTTCTCTATTAAAAATAGGTGATATAAAATAAGGATGTATTTCCTGGCTCCGGCAATGTTTACACCTGTAGAGTTCTTGTATTTTAAGCTTCCTAGTAAAGAAATTTAACAAACAGCAGTGATGCAAAAAGACGCAGCTATCTAATGAAATGGAGGACAGGAAGGCCTGGAGGAATGTTGTCCATGGGGTCGCGATGAGTGGGACACGACTTCGCGACAAACAACAAAAACATCTAATAAAATAACATGACTCAGGTTATTGTGGCACGGGCTTTTAAAATCACAGGTTTCCGAAATTAGTTCATCTGGAACTGGGATAAGAAGCCTTATTCGGAAAACTAAGCGGCTACGTTAGGAGAGGGTTGCGTGATTATTTGCAAACCGACTCCTAACCTGTTCTTTTTAAATCTTACACGATGCTTAGTCTATTCACTGTTTGGGTTTATAGAATTCCAATGGGGAGCCGAAGTGATGGCTGAGCAAGTGGAGCGTGGTGTAAAAATAGAGAATTTGTGTCTTCTTCAAAGAGAGAAAGAGGAAAAATCAAAAGAGTTCCTAGAATCCTCACTTCCGGTTCCCGATTGCGGGCACGGAATGGTCTGGGGCAAGACTTTTAGAGGCGCAGCAGCAATTAGGAAACTCAGTAACTGATCTTTTGTCGAGTGCATATTGCTTTCAACTCAAAAAAGTAACTTTATGTTGGTTGCAATCCCATGTACACTTACCATTTAACGCAGTGAGGCTTGTTCCTGAGGAGACATACCCAGACTTGCAGTGTTCCTAGCTAAACCAATTCCTTAATGGCCATTTTGAAAGGGGAAAAAGCTTGTGAAGCTTTAATTCGATATCAACTTCACCTGCGCGTAAGCCATGGATGGCAAGTGATTGGTTTCACGTGGATAATTATTTTTGATTAGTCACGCATAAGGAGTATACTGTGAAAGCTTATGCTTTGCTGTGTTATACTATGGAAGCCTGGGAGTTCCAAAAAAGTTAAAATACAGCGCTAAGCATAACAGCTCATTCTTTTCTGTTTGTCAATAATCAAAAAACGCGACAAATGAGCTTTTGGGAAGCTTCCGTTTGAGAACTTCTCCCTTTCAGAACGACAAAACAGGCATCGTTAAAACGGTGCCTTTGAAGAATGCGCGACCTGCGAAAATGCAAGAGTTGAAGCCTTTGACGGGCTACTTCAGAGCCCGCGTTTCACCTTCTCCATTTTCTTTTAAATGTTACACTCGCTCCCCCGCCCCGCTTTTCGAGACTACTGACTGCAAAGAGAACTCAATTCCAATTAAAGTGCATTGTTCTTCTAACATGGATACGGTCAGGTTCACAGAATATCTGAATGGGCATGTGTGAAATCCAAAGCCATTTGTCGATATCTGTATTGTGAAGTAGGTCTCTGATGGGAGTGCAACGAGGAATGGAGAGAGAGCTGCCATTTCACTTGCAATAAGAGAGATGGACCTTGTATTAAAGTAACGTCCAGGCTGCAGTCCTATCTATGTTTAGAGAGGGAGCCTACGATTCCCAGCAAGACTCAGTCAATCCTGCTTGCTGAGGAATGCTGGGAATTGTAGGCCCTTTTTTCTATCAAAACATGCATAGGATTCTGCCTTTAATCTTTAAACTAGAGTTTCGTGGAGGTTCCGGAGATGTGGAGCACCTTTTCAGCCTGCTCGCTTTCGACTAACGTGACCGCTATAACTGCCAAAGTACAAGAATGCAAACAGGTCCCTACTTTCTCTTTCACCGACTGCTGGCACTGATTGGACCTGTGTAATCACAAACTAGTATAACTGTCCGCTCTGATTAGTACAATGTCAGATTTCATCTGCATAGCTGTTCCCACGGAAAACGGAATTATAATTTTCTGACACTATATGCCACTATTATCGACATATGGGAGTCTTGCTTTTGCTGAATTACATTTCCCAGGCTTCATTACTTCTGTTTCATCTTTATACTATTCAGTTGCCATGTATCTCACTAAAAGTACAAGTCAGAATGCAATCTAATAAAGTATAAACATTCTGAGCATCCAACAAAACATCCAATAAGAGTGAAATCCTATGCATTTTTAAAGAAAAAAAGCCTTATGACTCCCCATGTTTCCCATGGAGGAATGCTGGGAGTTGCAGGACCTTTTTCTGTCTAAAAATGCACAGGACTGCATCCTTAAAACAGTTTTTAAAAACCCAGTTGCAATAAAATAATGCCTAATAAAACAGCTGATGTTAAAGTCCCCTTCACATGCTGGCAAATGCTGGGAGGAAAGGAAATTCTTAATTTGGCACCCAAAAATAAGAATGCTAGTACCAAGAAGCTCTCTTTCTTATTTCCTTCTTACATTTCTTCAGTGGAGGACTTCAGATATCAATCATGGTGTCTGTGTACATTCATATCAGGAAAGACTCTCCATCAGATATTGCAGTCCTGATCCATAAAGCCAGTACCTTGAATTTCTCTGCTAAATGTATGGGCAGACAGTATAAATGGCAATAACTGGTCTTCTCTCCTGCCTTAAACTACTGAAGGCATAAACTACTAAAAGCTGCTCATCCTCTGCCCAAATAGGGGCATAGCTGGGCCACCAGCCAAAACTGGTAGATGGCATTCCTTGCTTGCGAAACTATCTGAGACTTTTGAGCTATAATCAGGAGTACCTACAAGCTATGCTGCTCCAGGATACACAGAGCAACCCAGACACCCTCCAAGTGGTCAGAAGAACAGCTTACTCAAAGCATCTGGCTCTTCCCTGGAGTGAGCTTCAGTTTATGAGCCCTCATCCAAGCCATTCAGCAGTCTGGTACATCCACAGCCCTGACTGGAGAAGATGCAAGCTGTGACTGGCCTATGTACTAGACCCTCCTAGCTTTCACAAGGAAGCTGTGATATGGTAATATGTAAGGTAGTGTTCCTGGAAGTGGTACCCTCTAGAAGTTTTGGACTGCAACTCCAGCGTTCCCAGCTTTCAAGCAATGCTTTTTTGTATCTAATATGCATGAGATTTCACCTTTAATTGGAGTATGTCAAAATATGGACTGATTGTCTTTGGAACTGCCTAAGACAGACTCAGACAAATAGATCAAAAGGGCTGGTATTGCAGCAGAAAGAGGTACTATACACTTGGATGATGTTTTAATATGTTTCATATAATGCATCTTTCATTGGTTTTTTTAACGTATTTGGTGAACTGCCCAGAGAGCTTTGGCTGCTGGGTAGTTTAGAAATTAAATAAATAACACTCCTGGAATTACTCTCCATAAGGGTTACGTGAACAGCTTAACAGAAAAGGCAATGTGGATACAAAGTCACATACATCCCACAACAGGATAAGAAACCTGTTTGCATGTGAAATGAAATATTCAGGCATCACAAAAAGGAAGAAGGTGCCTGTTTGATGCATGTATGCTGGACATAGGCTTTACAGTGCTATCTATTTGGTCTATTCAAAAATAAGTGACTCTCTGTAAGAGGTCGCAGCCTGCAGTCTGGCTCCAGCATTCTAGACCAAATGAAGTTTCTGAATCGCTTTCAAAGGCAACTCCACCTGCCGCTTGTTACAACAGGCCGAATGGCACACATGACTATAACCAGGGCTTTTTTTGTCATCGAACGCACCAGAACGGTGTTCCGGCACCTTTCTTTCCAATGGATTTTACGAAGTGATTTTGAATCGTAGCAGATAGCAGCAAACATCATTAACACAGTGCCTGTGGGCTGCTTTTGTGTCTGCTATCTGATAGTGAGATAGTGAGGGCACTGCTTGGGATTGGTGCGTGTGGTCGCGCACTTTCTGCCGGCGACGTGAGTTCCTGCACCTTTTTTTTTTTTTTTTTTTAAAAAAAAAAGCACTGACTATAACCATATTGGACATCTCAGGGAACAGTTGATTCATGGAGTGCAGTTGGGCTTACCGTCTGGTAAGGGCTACAGGACTGCCACTTTAGAAGATAGCATCATTTTTAAAATACAGAAGTAAGCAGTGATACTAAATGCTATAACATTCACAAACTTAGTTACAAGAACTGATTACAAATTCATAATTAGTCCTGGTTAGAATATTTTAAATATTGTGTGTGGTCTTGAGCATTATATTTAGTGGAATGGTAGGATACAAATTTAAAACATAAATATTTGAAACATATAGGTAAGTAAATGTCACAATGTCCTTTAAAGACTGTCCAAGCTGAAATACAGTTTGTTTCCCACAATTAGAAAGAGCACAAACAAGCACTGTGGCAGCACCTGCTGATCTCCTCAATCAACTGCTAACAGCTAGGATGTAAGAATTGCCTTGATTGATTAGACCAGAATCCATCCAGATGAGCGTACTTCTGAAAGAAGTCCAAAGCATGAAGGTGATGGCTAATTCCTGTTTTTTATTCCACGGTGTTTGGTACTCCATGATACCCTGCCTCCAAACATGGAGATTCCATTTAACCACCCTACTTAATCAACACTAATACCCCTATTCCTCTATGAATTTGTCAACTTCTAAGTCATGCCAAAAGAGAAATTACATCACCACTAAACTGAATGATAGTTTTGATTTTTAAACCAGACTGGATATCCCACCAAATAGAGGACACTTCCAACCGAGAGCTGGCAGAGACAGTAAGATACCTGGACACCTGTCGCTGGACTTGGGGAAAGGTACTTCAGGGTGTCCGAGGATGAAGTCTCCCTTCCGTGAACACCCACCTGGAGTGCTGCTTTCCCACCACCATATGAATGTAGCAGTCTGAGTGCCTTGGGATTTCTGGGCAGTGAGGAACCCAAACCCTTCCTGTAGTATCGAAGGAGTCCCCCGACACAGTACCTCCAATGGCCCCTATGTAGTCTCCACAGGCACTTGAAAAATTTACATGCAAGCAGACATGAACACTTCTATTTTTAATACATGGATGTGTATGAAATTCATAAGCATTCTAGGAATCATATATAGACTTCAACAAATGTACACCAAATATCCAGATAAGTATCCATTTGGCTTTGTGTATGTCACCCATTCATATTCTGAAAGTGTTATAACATCCTCAATTTATTCCATTAAAAAAGTGAATGTTTATCATCCCAGTTTTTCCATTATTAGTCTTTTAACCTTTAAAAGAGTGAAACAAATCCACGTCTCCTTCCATTTTTAATTTCTATGAGGCAGATACATTTAAATAGTATGTACATCATAGAATATTAAAGATAGTTTCAGTACAAATTTTATCATTTCATTGCATTGCATTTATAGTCTGCTTTTTTTCCTCTTGTGAGGAAACCAAGTCAGCTTCCCTAGCTCCATTTTATCCTCACAACAACAGGCTTGTGAGGTAGATTCAGCTAAGAGTCTGTGACTGGCCCAAAGTCATTCAGTGAGCTTCATGGCTGAGAGAAGACTAGAACCTTCTGAGTCCCAGTCCAACACTTTAACCACCACACCACACAAGTATGACAACATGAACAAAATGTTTTATGTCTTTCCTGTTCTGTTACTGAACATATACAAACTTAAAAGAATGTTCCTAGCAGTTTCAAATTGAGAAAGTGACAGCAAACTATCACCTGAAGGTGAACTCACTAACACTTTTCCGCTTGACACTTGAGCCCTGATTTTAACTAGGAGGGCATGAAGTTACAGGAGGAATCTGACTCTATATTTAGGAAGAACAACTGTAAGCTATGACGGGAATTCTCTTTTACACTTGGCTTCTAAACTCGGCTGTACACCAGACCTAGAAGTGCTCTTAGTAGTACACACAGGGACAAAGGACTTTTGTCTATTTCAGCCACCTTTCAAGGACCACAGGGAATATCTCAGCTGACCGAAGAAGGCATCTCACTCAGCGTCAAAAAGGAGGTGTATGTATTCACTCTCCTGACGGGTTGGAACTTTTCGCAGTTAAATAATCAGGTACATAGTGAAAGCTCAGAAGGGGAGGGTGAAATGGTTCAAAAAGGAAAGGTTGTCTGGGGAAAATACTTTCATATTTTACTGGGAGGAGAATGAATGAGCTAACATTCTCTGCATTTTAAGCTCTTTTTCCCAGACTAGTAATGCTTAACACAGGCTGTATTAGTACCTTTTATTCTACCAAGAGTTTTAAAATTGTTTGAAACTAAGAATGTTCTTTTGAGACTTAGCAGTTACACAAAATGCCTTCTGTATTTGCCAACACAACTCCTATAGAGACATACTTTGTATGGCTGATAAAAACTACATTAAAACACCACTTTTTTCTTGTAGTTTGCTTGAAATAGTCTCATACTAGTGGTTCAAAGTAGTGCAAAAACAAAGTTATAACAGTTGTTATATAAGATAAGAAATATTTATTGGTAATTGCTATAATTTGAATGGTTAAAACTCCAATTAATAGCACTGTGAGCAGTGGAGTTTCATCATGGAGTTTTCTCCTCCTCAAGCACAAACATGGTTCCCACTGGTGCAATTTCTATCTAGGTCTTTTAACAGGGTGATATAGTACAGTTTTCTGTTTATAACACTTGTGCTAGTTTTATATATACAGTAGGAATAAAAGGATGGCATGTAAGGTTCCTTTTTGACTACCTCTATGGTGGTGTTATGAAAGACAGAAATTATGGAAGTGCCTCAAGAATCTCAGCTTATTTAAAGCAAACTGAAGTTGTTCAGTGCCAAGTAACTGTATGTCCTTCATCCTGTCAGAACTTATTTTTAGATGAGGCAGAGAAGAGAACAGTATTATTCTCATTTTTCTATTTTTCTTATATTCCTGTTTCTTATGCCAGCTCAGGAATCATAGGTATATTTACATATGAAGTAAAATGCATGCTAAGTAGCACCCAAATGAAACAATAATGGCATTGCCTGCCTCCACCTTTGAAGGTAAGGCATGAGACAAATCAGCATATGCCTGCAACTCAAAACGCAGCAGAGTTTGTGGTGTCACTGTTAGAAACTGTGCTGAAATATTTGATGTTAACATAGTGGAATGTTTTGGAAAGTACCATGGCTTATAACTGAATGGATTCAGTTTCCCTGCACAGTCCAGCTTCCTTTTGTTTCATGGGAGTTAGGGCTGGAGTAAAGGAGGACTGAAGACATTGTTCCAAATCATCCCCTACTGTACGTATTTCACAAGGGCCTAAAAGCAAGCTTAGCTTACTGCTGCTGGAGTGTGTTGATTCACCTTGTTGCAGACAGAAGGGGAGGACAGGAATGGCAGATTACACTTTCCGTGTTCCCCAGATATACAGACCAACGTAGCTGGAAGGCACCAGGTTGGAGAAGGCAGTGCCCCAGGGCCATAAAACAGTGCAACTGTCTATTACACAGGGAATAATTTGTGTTCCTTCCTGGATCAAATCTTGCTGTACAATCTTGCACATGGACAAGGTTGCCTGGAAAACCTGATGCGATGCAAACTTGCTGTTTCCTCAACACATCATTTATGCTGGTGTCCAGGAACAGCACCAGTCCTTCCCTGCTGTATATGCTTCTGCAACAGTTGCATATAGATCTGGATTCCAGGAGTTTCCTGATGCCAGGAAAGAATCTCCATGTGACAAACAAAGCAGCATCTACTTCTGCCAAGTTTACCTCCTGTTTGTGTGGCTAAGCCTGAAGATGTAGTGGGGTTTATAATTTTGTTCCAGAACACGTGAGTGCCAGTAGTTGTATTGAGGGGAAGGGAGAGCAGCCCAAAAAGGTTGTCTATTTTTACTCATCAGCATTCTGTTGTCCTGATTTCTCTGGCAGTAATGAGGTCAGCACAAACCAGCACGAAAGGAAGATTGCCTCTGCAAAAACTAATCCTGCACATTTGCCTCATGTACTGTTTTTGAGGAGTCTCAGTCCAATTCTGCACGTTATTCTTCCTAATTTATTTTAACTCCACATTTAAGCTAAGGAACTGGTCCTGGAAAAGCGTACGTATGTGGTACCATGTTTAGATAGTTGAGACAAAATGGGGACATGGTGCTGTCCATGTGGAATGTTGTTGCGGCTGTGATTTTAAATAGTAATTTGTCTTTGCTCTTTCAACAACCTACATTACCATATCAGGCCTTTGAGTAGTTTCTTTATCAGCTTCAGGCTGCAGCTATCCTTTATTCTTGAGGAAGATGTTTTCCCTTCTGTTTGAAGTGTATAATGCTTTGTAAATTACATTTTTATCAATCCAAGCCAGATTCCAAATATAGGGATTTATTACCATTTGATTCTGGTTTATATCCTGAATCAAATGATTAATAAAGTGAGTGGTCCCATGAATATTTGCCCATTTGATGAAACAGTTACAGCACAATCTTATATTTATCTACTCAGGAGTAAGTCTGATTACGCTGAATGTGAGTTACTTCCAGGGAAGCAGGTATATGATTGCAGCATTAATGTCTCATTTACTATTGTGTTGCAAAAGTGATCTTATTCTATGGCCTATGAAAAATTCACAAGTGAAGCTCAGATGTTCTCATTTACTTGCAGTGTTCTGTGAATGTATCTTAGTAACTCTGAAACTGAGACTGAAAGACAATCTGGGCTGCTTAATACATACCTGTCGAGAAGCACCATGGGTTAAATTGTAGCTAATCAAACCCAGCTTTTAGAATGTCATTGTAGTCCTAAAAGAGTTTTTGTTTGTTTTGTTTGTTTGTTTTACTGTGGTTGCTAGTAGGAATACATCTCTTCTTCAAAAATGTCAAAACAGCCAGCTTCAAATGTCAGAAGTATTCAGGTAAGAAATAGCATTTTATATTATTGTCAATAAATAAGAACTCCTTATGCTAAAAAAATTTAACTCCTGATTTAGTTGGTGTTTTGAGGCTACCTAAGAGTTAATTTAAACTTCCTACAGATGGAATTAAACTCATTTTCATTCAGGATTAGCCATGCATTTTACATATTTCATTAGCAGCATCAAAAAAGAAGAATTCATTAGAATGATTTCTCTGAGCTGTATTAAGCACAGAAGAATCCATAGAATTTATTATGCACAGGTCATTATTAACAGATTGATTGCTGCTAAAATTACATGCATTTGGCTGCAAGGCCATCACACATACACATATATTATTGCATGATTTGTTTCTTCATATTGTCCAGCAAAATTCACTTCTGATTGCAAGACTTTTTCTTTGGTTAGGATTAACCCTCATATTAATTTGGCAAATGCTGAATCTGAAAATGCTGCACATTCTGTTGAACAGGTTATCCCATTCCAGTAATTGTTACAGCTGCATTCCTAAATCATTGAACAGGACGTAAACTCCAGTGCATTGAAAGCAGCTTCTGAGTTGACATGTGTAAAGCTGAGCTTGAGGCTACCGTCCTATGCACACTTGCAGAGAAACAAATGTCTTTGAATCAGAGAGCCTTACAGCCAAGCAGACATGCTAGGACTGTAAAGCACTGAACAGTCTATGGAAATGAGTTGATAAACTAAAACATAACCATCAAACACTACAGAATTAGTTGTTCCAGTTTAGTTCTGTTCACATCAGTTCAGTTCTACTGACAGTTCTGTTTTCTTTTCCCCTCTACTAATATTATCAATTTATTACCCCACAGCCTTTTTGCTCAGTAATCTATACCTCAAAATGTGTAGATTGTCCTCATAGTTGTGTCCAAAAGTCCACACTTGCAAACCACTGCATTGCTCCACATCAACAAACTGGTTCTAGCAGTGTTTCTCTTCACCAGGAGAAGTTCTTTTGTAAAGCTAATGGGTCTTAACTACCCATTACATGCGTTACATTACAGCAAGAAGCAATATATGATTGTTTGTACATTCCTTTACACACAGTTACTGTGAAGATTCTAGCTATGCTCAGAAGGAACAGCAATTCTGAGGGAATTCTCAAGGGAAGTAAACAACAGCTGTTGGAGAAAGCAAAGTCAAAAATAATGTTCTTTGACCACCGTGGGTGCTTGCTGCACTTTGACAGCAGACTCTTAGCCAGATCAGCCCTCCACAACAGAAGGCATACCTTGGATTAAAAAAAATACCAAAATTGTGCAATAAAAAGGGGTAGTAAACCAGGGAAAGACTCTCCAAAGTGTCCAAGCAGCAAAGTAGAGGGACTGTCACTAGTTGCTGGGATACAGAGTGGAGCACTGAGGAGGAAGTGGGGCACAACCACCTTGAGCCTGCTCATCTGTTAAACTCCCTGAGGGTTGCCCAGGCAACAAGCAGTCCCTCTGGGTTACCTGCAGGACAGGGTAGCAGGATGTGTGATGTGATGTGAATTTCCCCAGCTTTCCGAGAAAAACAAATTTTATGTTTAGATATCAGTATGCAAAACATTACTCAATAAAGCAACGTTGGATGTATTTTAATACAAATAGTCAAATAAAGATTTTTCCTTTGGCTTAAATTCTATAAATGTAAGAATTCTGTAGCTGATCACTATTAATATATCATCACAAATAAGCTCTAATAATTAGCCTTGATCCATTGAAATAAATAGTTTAAGCCTATTACATGTGGGATTTAACTAAGCGCTATTAGCTTAATTTTGCCTTGTTACAACTCATTAATAGGAATTATTCATCAAGGATTTCCAATTAACAGTTGAGTGGCAGAGGGCAGGCAGAATTCCATCACAGTTATGTATGCGTTTGCCTTAGCAAAAACTTCTTGATTTTTTTAGTATGAATTTGGTAGCATGCAGAGTAAGTATACAAGTTGGTTTGGTTTGAATAACCTGCTTGAACTAAAGGCAATGAATGCTAAGAAAATGCTGGTTACGTTAAAAAAAATAAAACTGAGTGCCTTGAAACAATTTGGGCATGATCCAGATGAATGGAGAGATTCCCGAGTTTCACTGTCTTCAGTGGGGAAGCTAAGCAAGAGTTCAAATCTTTCTCACAAAAATAAGCAGGACACTCTGGTTGAACCATGTCTTTCCCTTTTTAAAATGAAAGTAATTGTTTTAGAAGGACAGAAGTTGCATTCTAGTGGATACTTTCTTGAAAGTGCATTTTAAATATACATAGACTTGTTTCTAAACCATTGTGTATAGATAACTCAGTATATTACCTATATATGATCTTGAAGAGATTATATAGATATATAGATGTTCAAGGTGTTGGTTATGACCTATAAAGCCCTAAACAGCTTGGGACCTAAATATCTAAAGGAATGCTTGCCCCATATATACCTCCCGCCCCTTGAGATCAGCAATGGATGCCCTTCTCCGGGAACCCTCTGTGAAAGACATTAAGAGGCAAAGTACCCGGAGGAGGGCTTTCTCTGTGGTGGCGCCCCATCTATGGAATGCACTCCCCAGAGAGGTCCGCCTGGCGCCGTCGTTATTTGTTTTTCAGCACCAGGCTAAGACCTTTTTATTTAAAACTTATTTTAATTGCTAAATTATTGTATTTATTAGGATTTTAAATTAGCCGAGAATGCACCGGGGGTTTTAAATGTTTTTTTTCTTTTAAATTGTTATATTGTTATTGTTTATGTATTTTTTTTGTATTTTTTGTGAGCCACCCCAAGGCTTTGTTGCGATGGGGGTGGCATAGAAATGTTTTAAA